AATTGACCGTTGCCGTTGCCCCAGTGTCGATTGTGGCTTTGAAGCTGTGCCCACCAAACATAACTGCTGCTCCTCCTCGATTAGCCTGTCAGTTAGTTTGGAGAGGTAGCACTGTGCGACCCCCACTCGCCTTTTAGCGGCTGAGTTCTCTGGCCATTTCCCGATTGTTGGCAGCACTCGACGCTCCTGATGCCCACTTTGCCGCATAACCAGCCGTTGGTTTTGACATCCTCGAGCCCAGTGTCCGTTCCCACCACATTTTCGACAAGCTTTCTGCGGGTCTGTGATATGGGTTGCATTTTGTGGCCTCTGTAAGGTGCTTGGCGGCCTCCACACTATGTTGTTTGGTTGTCTCTGTTGCTATTGGGGTGGTGTCCATGGATTTCCTCGCGGTGCCTCGGTTGCCTGCTGCCGTTGGACTTGATGTGGTGATGACCACTGGTCATTGCCCCGTTTATCCTGGTTGCCCGGATCTTCGCACCTTCTGCACATGACTTGCGTTGGGGCCTTCAACTTGCTTCTAGAGAACTTGTTCTCCTGTGAGAATGCTTCCCGCTTTTTCTTCAGTTCCTCATACGCGTCGGCTAAGATCATTAGCGTATCGAGGTTTGACACCTTGTACCTTAGACTCGGTGTACAGTTCTTTTAATAATTCGTAGGGTCTCTTTTAGCGAGTAGTTGAGAGACATCACCTTCATCTGCGTGTCGATCATGTAGTCCTGAACGACTTACTGAAGCTCTGCTTCCGTTGCCTGACTTGATCCGCCAGCCTGGTAAAGAAATCTCTCAGCAGAAAACTGGTTTGGAAGCTTTCTATGAATTCCGCCCAGGTTCTCCATTGCATGTTGTTGGCCATGAACCACTTCAACGCCCTTCCCTTAAGCAATTCAATCATGTCAAAGTCCAAGCTGTATGTGTTGGCGGACCATTCTACTTGCTCCAGGAACTCGAATGGTTTTTCCGCACCGTCGAACCTGAACGAACATTCGCGGACTTGTTTAGCGAACTTTGCAGTAGTCTGACTGGCTGGGTCTCAAAGTCTGCGCTGCTGTTTTCCTTTCCTGGCTTAACTCTCTCCTGTGAACCTGCTTTTGCAAGTTGTCAATGCTCAGGCTTGCCACTAGGACGTCCCCCCCTCCAATCTGCCATCCAGGGCGATATTAAGCCTCTGTGCGACATGGGTGAAGTCCTCCTTCTTGAGGCGGTAAATCCACTTCTTTCCCATTCTGATTCTGATGCTCTTATTGTTGGGACAATTACGTTGGCCGTCAGATGTAACGAACTGATTTTGTTGCTTCTGCGCGCAACGAGATTCGTTCCTCCCTCTAAATTTATATGACGTCACTGCCCCGCAAATCAGTGAAAAAACACATGATTCGAATGGTAACAAAGGGTTTATTCTCGTGGTATTTATTACAGCGGGTCGGTGGCTTGGCTGGTCATGGTATCGCCTCGCACTGCTCGACCTGACGCGTCGACTCGGTGACCGCTGGCTTCTTCCTGTGTGGGATGCTTGGATGTGACCCGCGCCTGCTCGCTTATCGATTCATTAAGGAAGGGTCACCATCCTAAGACTAGAGTGAACCTTGCTCTCCAGGACAACGCCCTTCGAGATAATGATCGCCTGTCCCTTGTTCTGTACCGGACGGTCTCACTAGGGTTTCGCGCTGAGAGTCCAGGCTAACGCCAGGAAGCTGCCTAGCAGTTCATTTTCTTTACGCCTAGCGCCGACGAACGTTCCTGCCAGCCTCACCCTATTGCTTGACGTCCGTGATGTTCCTGCGCTCCCCAACGAGTTCCGTGCGGCGATCGGGACGTGGCTGCCTTTGATGTCTGCTGGCGTCGCTGCCGATGTGCTCTGTTCTGCTTCTTGGTCGACCGCCGTTCCGGGACTTGCTGAACCGCTGGGGTTCTCCAAAACAACGCCTCAACGGGTCGAATGCTCCCCCTTCCTGGCTGGTAGTGTGGTACTCTGGCACTCGGGGTGTCGGACAGTGGCTGTTCCAGGACTTCGCCGGCAATAGCTCTCCAGGACAAAGCCTCTTGAAACCACAAGTCGATCGACCTCTCGTCCTTCGCACCAGGTCCTTCTCAGTCGAGCACGGCACACTGGGTTTTAGGCAACCTTCGCACGAGCTCACGATTCCTCGTCGCAGGACTCTATTGTTAGACTCTGACGGACGCTCCGGGCGATACACCAGGGTGTGGTCGTGACAAAGTTGGAAACAACCGCCCTGACATAGCCGTGTGAATGGTTCTGGACCTCAGCTACCTGTGTCTCAATTCGGAGATTCCTGATGCCCTAATCCCGAACGTGTCGACATAGCGATCTTGCTCCTTGTAGGCTTCCCACGGTGCTGCTTCCGACGTCTGGATCTTTGGTTGCTGGCTTGTTGGTGCTGCTGCTGGTAGACTTGGTAATTCACTGATTTTCACGGATTGACTCCTTGTGATCGACTAATCTAGATTCCATCGCTGGGCCCGTTTATGTAGGCCTCCTGGCACCGTTAATCCTCGGCTTTTCCTTTTTGATCTTTGCGCACTGCAAGCCACTAAGGTCCAAAGTCCGCGATTTTCGACCGTTATCCCTTTTCTCACGGTACGCCGGCGCTCTCTCGTCTCACTGCGCTCCTTCTCTCTCTGCAACTATTTTGTCCAAACTCTCTTTCACTGTTATATCCGAACTTTCTTTCATCGTTCTCTCCAAACTCTCTCCGACTGTATTCTCCAAACTCTCTTTTCCCACAGTGCCGTTACTACGCGCCTTCTCTGCGTATCCAGCAACTGGCGGGCTTCCGTACAGCCGATCTTCGTTTTTATTTGTGGGGAGTTATTTAACACCTTACAGTATCTTAGAGTGAAATAAAAATCAGTCTCATAACGAAATTCACTTTTATCACAGCCTAAACAGCCACTCCAGGACCAACGATTATAACAACAGCCGTCTCCGAACCATCGACCTAACTTCCGAGCTTACGAGCTTTGCCAGTGATGCCACTTAGGGAAAAAACGAAAATTTTAATTTGTTCAATCGAACATGCAATCAAGTCCCGTGGCAAGTAGTTATTGCTGCGCTGCTCGCTCTTAAGGGTTATTAAGGGCTGGTGCGAGAACTCCCCATACTAATGCATAGTAGTGGGAAATCAAAGTTAGCTTCGAATATGGCTCTCAGCAGAGCTTTTACGAAGATTCCGGCAGACCAAATGAAACCTCTGTAAAGATTCTTACTCCATGGCATTTACAAAAAAAACACATGGGTACACAAGTACGGTCCATGAGATAGGTGTCAATTTACATTGTGGCGGTCTTATGAACCAAAATTGGTTTAGTAAAACAACACACTGAGTGATAAAATTAGTGGTAAAAACATGGTAATTGAGTTACCACAACTTAACGAAAGCTGGGTCAATGGGTGCCCCTGTTTATTTAAATAAGGTAACATAGATCGATTCTGCCACTAATCCGAATTGAAATTTTGTAATAGGTCTGCCGGTAGGCTGCTACCTTATCAGCCACTGCCGCTGAAGAAATTGAAGCAGCCCGGTGGGTCTAAGATTTAGCAGTGGTAAAAATAAACTTTCTGTTGTTTTTCAGGCAAGAATTATTTGTTTCTCGACACACGCGTGAAATCACAGCTTATTATGGTATGTGATTGTCATTGCTCTTTATTTATGGGTTCTAATTTATCTTCTCAAACTAAAGCGGGATACTTCCTAAATGGTGAATTTAATGAACCAAACTACTTGATTTCCCCCAATAATTCAAAAATTACAAAAGGATGTGAAATGGATCGATTCAATGTTCTTAACAGGTTAAACCGGTGCAAAACCAAATTTTCAAAAGAGTCGAAGCAGTTTTATAATATTGCGAACGGCAAGCGTAACTGATTTATATACAGATTTTGAAACTACTGATTTTCTTGTCAAGTTCTTCTAAACTTCTTTTAGTTGTTTACATTCTAACTACCCTTACCATTTATAGGTGAAATTGTATTTTTTTCGGTAATTACAAAAAGTTCTACCTTAAGGGATTTGGAGACTAGAACGATACCTGGGTGTGTGTTTAGAGTGGCTGAGGGTACTCTATTGGGCGCTTTGCTATTTAGACTATTTATCAATGATCTTCCCCCTATCAAAACGTATTCTTGAGTACTAATGTATGCTGATGATGTTAAGCTTTTCTTATCCTATAATAATTTCCGGACGGGTTTTTGGCTTACACTCTGATATCAATTGGTGCCAATCTAACCTCTAAGATCGGAATGGCCTCAAATGGAACATGATGACACTTTATAGGGGCACGGCTTTGTTTATTAGCTTTTCTCTTCATATATTTATTCCTATTCTATTCCTGACTCAAAATTAAAAGTTGTCTCCTACATTAGGTCTACTGTCAACAGGAATAAGAGTGCGTTTGGGCTTTTTAATAATAAATTTGATGAAATTTCCTTACAGGTACATATAGACCGTACTGAGTTGTTACAAAAAAAAGTATTATTTTTGCCGCGATTTCGACTAGGATTTAAGTGCTAGGTTGCCTTCTTAACATAGTAGACCACTATTGCTATTAATACTTGAATATAATCTTATCAGAGGTGATATTGATTCTTGATTGTTACGCATTAAAAACTAATCAAACTATGTTCTAAGGGAGTGCTGAGTTATTTTCAGAACAGGTACCAAATAGAGCACTAAATGTTCAAACTGTTACCAAGCACCATCAATGGTTTGCAGTTAAGGAACATCAATAATGGAAATTTTGTCTGGTAGCCTTTTTTCATGACATTTTAGTCGATTTGATGTTGATATCATCCAAAAAAATCGGATATTGTATCCTCTTCAGATATCAGATATAATCAAGTAGGAAACAAATTAAAGGGGTCTACGGAACAGCGGCTTAGGAGAATTTTGGTGTAAGATATTATGAAACATGTTTTTGATGTGGACTTGAGTAATTTTATAAAAACTGCTATTCATGAATTTTTTTTTAATAAAACTTACCAGTACAATAACTGGTGGTAATTTATTGTTCCAAATATTTATTGTAGGAGTGTTTGGAAACTTTACCATTTTCTCTTGATCCCAGATTTGAAGCTTTGAAATTACAAAACCAAATGTATGAGTAGACATGGGTGGAGTTTTGTAAAAAAAATCCATCAAGTAGCTGTTTAAAACGGGGCTGAAAATGAAAAATTTAAAGCGTAGGATTAGAATAGATTGAAAAGAAAAAATCACTCTATTTAAAACAATAGCAGTTGCCAATAAGTAGGCGTAATTTTTAGAAACAATTTATACTATATTTAACTCTTACTATAATCTGGACAAACAAGTGGCCCTAATGTCAACAAGCAGTGCTTGTCACGCACGGAGCCCTTTTACCCGAGTGGAGGAAAAGCGTAATCACGTTTTCGACTGACCCAAAATTCAAACTAAACAAATTACTAATACTAATTTCGAGAAAAGTAAGATACAATTGATACTGTTAAGATTGGCAAAGAGTCGGTAGTAGTAATAATATGATAGAGTCTAATATTGTCTGTAACGCCCTAAATCGAGGGCGCACAAATCTCACGGGTCGTGACGAGGATCATCGGAGTTACCATACGGATATTTAGTTTATTACATTACATTGTAATCTTAGTCATAGTCTTGTTATTAGCTTTAAGATCGCACATGAAGTCCCCGTGTTATGAATTGAAATAATATGAACTAAGGAAACTAATTAAACTACTAGTTAAGTTTGATCCAAGACACGCACCCTAAACAAAGCCCCCCTAACGCACTCGTGAGGCCCGCGATCGATAGCATAAACTCGCTCTCTTTCGTTTTGACTTTTCGCCGAGAGGGGACGAGCATCCCTACGGCACACCAATACCGGGGACTTAAGTTCGAACCCGCGCCCGACGCAGCACCTTTTCTTTTTAGTGTTTTCGGCTTTTGTCGATCCGCGCAACACCGACCAGCGCACCAAAATACACGTAAGCCAGGATACCTATTGAGAGGGCAGCAGCCAGGGCCCCTCTTCTTATCAATTGTCAATACAAACCTGAAGTTAAAAACCCCGTGTTATTTCTACCCCTACACCCCCTCTTCCTCCTCCTACCCCTTTGTCGACCCAGATCAACGACGCGTGTTTGGTTTTGAATCTGCGCGGCGCATCCTGGCCGAGAGCTCCCACCGTAGAATCCTCGTAGTCTCCGAGAATTACCGGAGTGTGGAATCCTCGTGAAATCCGAAAATATCCGGAGTGTAGAATCCTCGTAGACTCCGAGAATATCCGGAGTGTAGAATCCTCGTAGTCTCCGAGAATATCCGTAGTGAAGAAACCTCGTAGACTCCGAGAATATCCGGAGTGTAGAAACCTAGTAGATTCCGAGTTCACCCGGAGTAGATAAGCCCCGCCGTTCACGCCTGGCGGAATCCCCGTGGCCAACTCCAGTCGGAGTCGTCCAAGTTCACCACCAAGCAGTGCGATCGCCTTCTCAGTACCTCGTTCTGCCCCCAGAGGGCGTTCTCAGCGGGACTCATCTAAATTACCCACCAAGCAGTGCGATCGCCCTCTCAGTATCTCGTTCTGCCACAAGAGGGCGCCGCAGACAGGATCCTCCCGGGTTTCGCGCGAAGCAGTGTAGTCGGCCCTACCGCCACCACAGGACGCCAGGCGGCGTTATAATTTACATCTCGGGTACCATCGGATCCACTCCCACGCAAGGAACCATACTAGACGACTGGAAACTGTGCGGAAACCTTTACGATCGGTAGCCACCATCGAATAGCACCCGTCTCTAGGTGTCCACCTCCTAACAAATTCCTACATACGTGACAAGTGGCGCCCGAACAGGGACCTGATAGGGAGAAAGACCACCTGTATGGGGAGTGCGTAGCATCAGGACGAGTGACATAACCTAAAGATTCCGCGAAAACAATCGAAAACTAGAACAAAAGTGCCCCGACCGTGGAAAATAACCTCGACGAACTAGTGAACGCGCCCGGTATCAAGCCCACGAGCTTACTCGCGATCCCGTACAGTCCACGCGATCGAGTGTATGTGAAAATACAAACATATGGCCCAAGAAGTCCAGTGAAGACTCCAACCAACTAAGACCTTACTCCAAGACAACAACACATCAGAGACACGCTGCAAACATGAACCCCGACCAGAAAATTTCCGGTGAGTCCGTTCCACGCTTGCTTAAAATTCCTGGGGTCCCCTCGCGGTGGATTTATTCCCGCTTGAAGGCCGAATTACTAGCCTTTGCTGACGAATTCGTGTTCTCCGCCGAAGGAGTCGTCGACGACTTGCGGCGAAACTTTGTCACTTTAGTTAGGGACTCTGAACAAACCCAAAAAGTGTGGGATCGACTCGTCGACCTAGGAAGGAAATTTATCTCACGTGCCCCGAGCCCCGTACCTTTGGGGGAAGACAAACCTGGCCTTAGCGGCCCCGAACATAAGCGCCGGTTCAAGCCCCGGCGTCATCTCCGTAGGCCCGTCTCGAGCCACCCCTAGCTTCGCTATTACTGGCCCCTCTCCGAGAGAGTTTTATGGAGCCGAGTCACGACCGGAACCACCGCGAGGTTGTTTGCGTCCCAGAACGAATTCGTAAATGGGCCCTTCAATACGATGGGTATTGAGACCCCTTAGATTGCGTCGAGCAGGTCGAAAGCCGGGCCTTATCCTACGGGATCGACCTAGGACTCATTCCTCGAGCGATGGCAGAGCTGTTGACAAGCAGAGCGGAAGTGGTTCCAAACAAGCCGCCTCCAAGGGGTTGACTGGATCACATTTCGGCGCGAATTCCTCGAGTTTTTCCTTCCACCCCGATACCTCCAGCGTTTGGACGACCAGATTCGGAGTCGTAAGCAACTGGAAAAAGAAACGTTTAAAGACTTTATGCTAGATCTTCGAGTTCTAATGCGCCATGCGGGCTACAACGAAACCCAAGAGCTGAATAGGTTATACGAAAATGTCGCGCCAGAATACCAGATGTATATCCGACGTAGCGAGTTAAGGACCATTGAAGAACTGGCTCAGTTAGCCACTGTGCTCGAGGCCGTCCAGAAGCGAAGCCTCGGGAGAAACAACTATAACCACGCATCTAAAAATGCGACAGCTTACCGCCCACCCTCACAGGGTCGGACTCAACCTGCGTTCACTGAGAGAATTCCCCAAGGAAACCCACCACGTACATCGCCAGGTGCTGCCCCGCCAGTTAGGGTTAACCGTGTGACCGCATCCGACCGTCGAATCGACGTGCGGGATGCTTGTCGAAATTGCGGAGCACGGGGACATTTCAGCCGCGATTGCCGGAATCCACAACAGTACTTCTGTTGGGACTGCGGACGACGAGACGTCCGGACAGTCGAATGTTGTCGACTCTCACAGCCGGGAAACGCGATGTGTCCCCTCGACCGGCGGAGTCCGTCGGGACCCAATCCACCAGAGAACCACCAGTAACCGCACCGCTTAGGATAGAGAGAGGAAGGATCGCCGCTGAGGTCGACCTTAGCGGACACGTGCGTTTAGCCACCATCGACACCGGGGTATCTAGGAGTTTCATTAGCCAGGAAATCGCCGACGTAGTCGGTTAGCCACACCAGTTTAGGGAGATTTGCACCCAGATTAATCTCGCTGACACGTCTCGAGTCGAAGTAACAAGGTTACTCCTTGCGGACTTGACGCTTGCCCGGAAGACATGGATGGATTTTCTCGCTTCCATCGGCACTACCCTCCGATGTGGTACGGCAAGCCTCACGCTGCCTCGACGAAGACCCGGAGAATGTGAGACGATCAGACATAATGAACCGGAGCACGACAACCAAGGCAATCAATCGGAACCACAACCTCGACCCCGACCACTAAGACCACTCAGCCACCAAGCTACGCCGAATACATCGAATACGCCATCAACGGAACCTCGGCTAGGCATCGCCAATCATGACATAGGACCACAGAATGACAGGGATGCCAATGCGCCTGAAGAGCTGCATAGAACACATGAAACGCATAACGCAGCAACACGCAAGGAAAATGACGAGAACAACAACACAGGAGGAAACACCAGAATATCAACAGAGAACGACCATGCCAGAATAGCTAAGAACAACGGCAGGGAACATCAGGAAGATCAGAACCAGGAGAAACACGCTGAGAATACACGAGGGATACCAGACAAGGACACCGAGACCCAGGGGTATCAAATAAACAATCAGGAGTACAAGGAACGCGGCTGCGAGACTAATCCGCAGGTCCAAGCGTTCCTTAGCGAACAGATAACACGATTTGAAGGAATGGCGGGAGTAGCAAACATAGCGAATCACCATAAGGGACGACCGGCCGATTAAACAACGTTATTTCCCAAAGAACGCTGCTATGCAGCGGATCATAGACGAACAAGTGGACGTGTTGCTGGAGCAGGGATGTATCGAACCATCGCGTAGCCCGCACAGTGCCCCTTTGGTTCTGGTTCGGAAGAAAACCGGCCAGTGGCGCATGTGCGTGGGCTACCGACAACTAAACGCAAAATCCATCGCGAACGCATATCCGTTGCCGCGTATTAACCACATCTTACAGCAACTGAGAAACGCAAAATACATTTCGACCATGGATCTGCGCAATAGATACTGGCAGATACCCATGGCCTAGGACAGCCGGGCATGTACCGCATTTACGGTACCCGGACGAAGCCTATTTCAGTGGCGAGTCATGCCTTTCGGTTTGCATTCGGCCACGGCAACATTTCAGCGTGCTCTAGCGTGATAGCGTGATCGGGCCATCTCGACTCATACGCGTTCACCTACCTCGATGACAATATTTTCATCGGAGCCAGCCTAGGAGAACACATGGACAATCTGCGCAAAGGCTTTGAACGATTGAGCAGAGCCAACCTGCCCATCAAGAGGAAACTGGCCTACCTCGGACGTGTGATCAGTGACCAGGGCATCTACACCGATCCCACGAGCTTACGGGAGCTGAGGAGATGCCTCGGGACGGCCTCATGGTACCGGCGATTCGTGCCCAACTTCGCCTCAGTGTTCCAGCCCATGACGAACCTACTGAGGAAAAACCAACGGTGGAAGTGGGAGCCGGAGCAACAGAGTGCTTTCGATCTCCTGAAAAGTTCACTGACAGACGCACACGTGCTGGCATGCCCAGATTTCGCCGCCAAGATGACACTCC